AGTAGATAGTTGTCGTCATGAGTAAATAAGGTAAAAGTACTAAGCAAGCATAGTACAAAATAAGTATAAAAATAATGTTACCTATTTATTTTTATTTTATTAGTCAAGGGTAGTTTTGTTTCATGTTTTCTTAAGGACCTGGATGTTCTTTGTTAATTTTAACCTAGTGAATCCAAATCAATAGCTTTGAACCCTCTTGGGGCTTTTTAGACCTGTTCAAACATTTTGCAGGATTTCTTTGCCTAGGAAACCATAAGAGCATGTAATGAAAATCATCTGTACAGCAAAATGACGTTATATTTTTAATACTTTAAAAACTTTATTTACAAATAAATTCACAGAACTTTTGGCCACTGTTACATGGACCAATTGTTGACTTTTCCCCATTAGTCCTGACAAGAATTTCATACCATTTTCTGGTGCTGCCCCATATAAGCCCCAAATAAGCCATTTTTATAGTTACTGCGTGTGTATCCAGGGGAAGCTGAGGATGAATTCTCTCTAGAGGAACATTGTATACCAGAGCTAACTGAATTGTAATGTTATGACAAAATGGCAGTGTCCAAAGAAAGTCATCCTTTGAAGGATGCTTAAGATCACAAGATGGAAGAGGGTGCGTTATGCTGGTAGAAGGTACTTTCTTAGGGAGGTAACAGATTTGTGCTGTATCTTTGGGATCATGAATCTGTTCCCTATCTGTGGTAGTGAGACACATTTTTATTATTCAGTTTGTTTAACAAAGATTTAGTGAGTGTTTTTACTATGTGCCAGACCCCATGCTATATCAGGGATTCAGTAGTGCCTAAGAAGCAGATAGAGGTCTCTCCTTTAATGAAGCTTACAGTCCAGGGGAGGGAGCAGAAATTAATCAAATAATCCCTCTTTGAATGAAAAATTATAACCGTGATGAATGTTATGAAGGAAGGGTTTGAGTAAGTGATGATAAGAAAGCGTAGAGCTGGGGCTTCCCTGGTGGCGCAGTGGTTGAGAGTCCGCCTGCTGATGCAGGGGACACAGGCTCGTGCCCCGGTCCGGGAAGATCCCACATGCCGCGGAGTAGCTGGGTCCGCGAGCCATGGCCGCTGAGCCTGTGCGTCCGGAGCCTGTGCTCCGCAACGGGAGAGGCCACAACAGTGAGAGGCCCGCGTACCGCAAAAAAAAAAAAAAGAAAAGAAAGCGTAGAGCTGGAGGACTTTACTTAGCCTGGGAGGGGAGCAAAGGCCAAGGAAGTCTTCCCTGAGGGAGAGCTGTTTGAGATCTGAAGGATGAGTTGGTGTATCAGCCAGTGTTCCTGCAGGAGAGGCAAGGCACACCCGACAAGGTGTTTTAGAAGAGTTAAATAACAGGACCATTTACAATGACGTGGGCAGAGTACAGGGAACCAGCACGGTACGGTGAAGCGCCCTGGCACTACCAAGAGTGGGGACCTGTTATCACCCCTTGACCTAAAGGGGGAGGGGGAAGGGGAGGTTACTGGAAACCTGAGAGAATAGTCATAGCTCTAAGAGATGGAAGCCCAGCAAGGGCTGTGGCTTTTGGTAGAGGGGACACAGCCAGTCCATGGAGACCCGGGCGGGAGGAAGCCAGGAGAATAAATCTTCTGACCGCACTGTCCTCACTCCCTCTGACCTCCTGTTGTCTTTTCTCTTGGGCGATCCCAACCAGAGGCCAATAGCATGGAGCCATCGGAAGTGTTTAGAGCGTGGTGTGGTCAGATTTACATCTCTTCACAGTCCACCCTTTCCTCCCATCTTTTGCTGCACAGAAGGATGGCCATGGTGCTACAGACAGCTGAGCACTGGGTTCTCATGCAGCTCTGCCCTTTACCAGTAGTGTTACCTTGGGCTGGAAACAGTCTCTCCAAGCCTGTTTCCTTCTCAGTACAACAGGGACATAGCTATGTACTCTCCATCCCAGCAGGGCATGGGGATCAAATAGATAGTGTCTGGGGAACGTCCTTTGGAAACTGGAAACTGCTTTACACGTGGAAGGGGATTTTATTACTCTCTTTTGCCTCTGTCTGAGGTGAGATGCTTTTCCCTAGGATAAGAAAGTATAACTTAATGTCTGCCAAGGTCCTCAAACATACCCAGTTCTGTGATGGCCTACCAATGGTAGAGTAAAACATGGGCTCAGTATAATCTTCTGTGAGGACAAGAAAACGTGATTAGAGGCAGCTCCAAGGCTTCCTGAGGTGCCAGATAAGACGGTGTAACAGAATTATGTCCTGTCTTCTCCTAGTCTGGGAAACCCCAGCTGGAAAGGGCTGACGGAGTGTATTTCCATTAGAGCCTAAATACTTGCTTGGACTTGTTTGTTTTTCACCAGAGAATGAATTCTCAGCCTTCCTCAGCTTTGTTTCCAACGTTTCATGGCTTACATAGACAGGGCAAAATGTCCCTCCCTCTCCTCTCCCTCTCTTGCAGGCCCCAGACTGAAAATTCATTTGTTAACTTTTTAAATATACACACAAGCAGGAAACAGATGGCATTATCTGGGTAATGCTAGCAAAAGATCAGATTCTTTTTCAAGAGCTATGCTCTGTTTTGAAATAGCCAAATGAATAAGGTTGTTTTGGCTTGAAATTCGTTATTGAAATAAGGTATTTGGACAACAGTTTATAATTTTTCAACTCTTCTCTAGGTGGGGTCTGGGCCTGTCAATGCATCTTCCTACCAAAAGGCCTAATTTGGCAAAAAGCTGAACCGTATCAGGCTCCCTCCCATCTCTGAATTTTTCTCTCTCTCCCTGTTCCCTCTGTCTGCTGTCTCTCTCCCAGTGGTAAAATGTTTCTTTGGTTTTTAGTCTGCAGGATCAAGAGAAATGAAAAACACTGCTCTAAGATGTGCTTCATGACACCCTAATAAAAGAGACAAAGTGTTCCCTTCACACATTTCTAGGACGACTGTCACCAGAGCAAGCAGGTGCAGTTTCTATTGTATCTTTAATTTTGTATCCATATTTTGGACTGAGCATAGTATCTAAGGTATTATATTTTTAAATTTATTTATTTATTTATTTATTTATTTATTTATTTATGGCTGCGTTGGGTCTTCGTTGCTCTGCACGGGCTTTCTCCAGTTGCGGTGAGCGGGGACTTCTCATTGCAGGGGCTTCTCTTGTTGTGGAGCACGGGCTCTAGGCGTGTGGGCTTCAGTAGTTGTGGCACGTGGGCTCAGCAGTTGTGGCTCGCTAGCTCTAGAGCACAGGCTCAATAGTTGTGGCACACGGGCTCAGCCGCTCTGCGGAATGTGGGATCCTCCCGGACCAGGGCTCGAACTCATGTCCCCTGCATTGGCAGGCGGACTCTTATCCACTGCGCCACTTGGGAAGTCCTATTATATTTTTCATTGAAGAACGCTCTGGAAATGTTCTTCTGGATATGGTGCATCTTTTTAGGGGGCCATGGATTGCACTCTCCAACCTACAGCCTCCTCTCTCTAGACAGCTGTCATGGGTGTTCTTGCAATAAACCCAGGACCATGTGAAGATGAAATATTTCCTAGGGAGGATGAGGAGAAGTGAATGGTGGTATTTCTAAAAGTATAGACAGCCTGACAGCAAATTCCAGAGACTGGGTGACATTTTAAATTAGTAATGCTCCTAATTATCCAAGCCCTAGGAGACCATGTGGAATACAGCCACAGCTCTAGGATTAATATAAGTGAGCACCGTGAACCCATTACTAACAGCATGTTCTCTTAGAATAATGGCACCGTATCTGTGTCAGCACAGTGTGATACTGCAGTTAAAACACAGATACACACATGCACAACCTCTGATATTTCCTGTTTTTTGGAAAAATTTTCCTACTATCAAAGTAAAAAAAAAAAAAACTATTATAAATTTTCCTGAAAAAAGTAATACTTTGTTTCCTTGTCATTCATTGCCTATTGGTATTGCTGGGTTAAAATATCAGATTTATAAAAGTGAAATTAAATAATCAATGTGTGATTTTATAGAACATGAGCTTGGAAGGCAGAAGTGCCCAGATTCAACTCCTGGCTCCCCTACTTACTGCTAGGTGAACTTGGGCTCATTCAGTGTCTCTGATTTTCAGTTTGTCATCTCACAAGTGGCCATCATAACGCTATCTCTTCGTACATTTATTGTGAGGATTTAGAGCCAAGTGAAATGCCTTGCTCAAAGCTAGTGCTAAAAGATGCTAAGAATAAAAGTCACTGATGAGACAGAAATACAGGAGCCTGAGATTTCAGTGATCAGACTGAGCTTTCAGACCTCAGCTTCAGCTGTGCGTGGGGCCAGGGCCCCAATCCGTACCGTCCTTCTCTTCCTTGCAGCATATGCACGTCCAAATGTTGGTTGGTCCCTTTGTGCCAGTGAATGGTGGTCTTTTTGATTGAAGTCCTAGGTCTGAACACAGAGAATAGAAGTTTCTGTAAAGTCTATGTGTCCACTGTCTTAACACCCTCCTACCCTCCATATAAACCTCCCCAACTTTTTGGAGGGGGCCTAAAAAAAAAAGCACATATCTCACTTTTGGATTTTTAAAGACTGTCTTCAGTTTTTCCTGAATATATATACACACACATATACATATAATATACATATGTATATATGTATATAATGCTAAACATTATTTGAGACAGTTTTCATTTTGTTCATGCTGACAGGTAGGGTAAGCAAATTCATTCATGACCCACTACTTTCCTTGGCCCTAAACATCCTAAAAGTAAACCGTGTTACAAAGAAACTGTAGTAATAATAACAACCATTTGAAAAACACCAGTTATACACTAAGTGCTTTGTATACACTTCATACTAATCCCCACAGTAAACCTGAAAAGGTGGGTATTGTTAACCCCATTTAACATAGGAGAAAAAGAAGTCTCACAGAGATTCATAACTTGGCCAAGGTAAGGCCACTTGTAAAAATCAAAGCTAGTACTTGGATCACAATGCTCAAAGTTGGCATGATGCCCACAGCTAAGCTCCGGTTTGTGTTTTCACCCCTTTTTTGTCTTTTCCTTTCCTCCCAGGTTGTTCTAGATGTTGGTTGTGGCTCAGGAATACTGTCATTTTTTGCTGTACAGGCTGGAGCTCGGAGAGTCTATGCAGTTGAGGCCAGTTCAGTAGCACAATATGCTGAGGTAAGTGGTTGTATTTTTACAGCAATTACTAACTAGGTCTTCAGTAAACTTCAGGGGACTAAGTGATGGACCTTTCACGTAAGTCATTTTAGAAGAATTTTTGTTTTACCAGTCTGATTTTTTTTTTCCTGTTGGAATGTTACTCCTGAAAGAGCCTGCCTTCACTGTAGTAATTGATATGAAAACAATTATTTCAAAAATTTCTTCACGATACTAAAATTATAACAGAACTTTCTTGGGCCTGGGGGACATGAATGCTATCTTATCTTTAATGACCTACTGAGGTGAGGAGTCAGACATCCCTGGAGCTAGGTTTATTTTTTTTTCTTAAATGCTGTACTGACAATAACTGCACCACTCACTTTAAATTTCAGTTTTGGTTTAAGGGACGGTTGCTACATGATGGTATTTGGAACATGGGCAGATGTCTGTGCTTCTTTTTCAGATTTCAGGTTTTGATTAGAGGATTAAATATGGTACTCCGTTATCATTATAAAATGTGTACAAATATTGGAGAATAAGTCAAGAGTCAAGTAATAATAGCTTTCAGTAATATTTGTATGTAATAACAACCCAGTCAAGCTGCAGAGCTGGATGTGTGTGTGCATGCGCATGCACAGGGTAATGTGCTTGTCATTCACACCTGGAGGAGGCCTGCATTTAAATGAGGGACAGAATGGCAGATAGAGAGGGAAGCTTGGTTGCTGCTTCTGGGGAGCATCCTGAAACTTTCCTCTGACCTGGGACAAGTGCTAGCTCTGAGTGATGGTTGGGTTTGGATGGAATGACCCAGGAGGGGCCAGAGACCAGTAGACAGTATGGCATGCTCGGAAGGAAAGACTGCCGGGGCCTGATGGCTGGCATGTTCTTACACTCTCTTCTTCCAACAAGTCTTGGATAAAATATTTTTGGTCATTTGCTTACGTACCATTTCTTAAGAGTCATTTTTATTAACTATTAGGTGCACACAAAAGAATATTTGTAAAATGTGTACATTTGTTAAATGTGTTAAGAATACCAATACAATGAATGTGTGTCCACTACGTCTTTTTTTTTTTTTTTTTTTTTTTGGCCACACCACGTGGCTTGCGGGATCTTAGTTTCCTCACCAGGGATCAAACCCATGTCCCCTGCAGTGGAAATGTGGAGTCTTAACCACTGGACAGCCTGGGAAGTCCCAGCTATGTCTTTTAAGAGATAGGCCATTAGCATTTCCATTAAAGGTTCATGTGTCTTGTCCTGATCACGTCTCTCTTCTGCCCTAAATAGAGGGCAACCACTATCTTGAAATTTTGTTAATCACATTCTCACTGTTCTTTATACTTTTACCACATATGTTTCTGTCCCTAAAAACATACCCTTTATGAACTTGCCATAAATGGAATCGTAATGTATGTATCCTATAATTTGCTTTTTTCACCCAGCATGATGCTCCTGAGGGTCATTTTGTTGATGGCATACAGCCATTGTTTATTCCTCTGCAGTGCTGGTTAGTGTTCTATTATATGAAACGCTCAGTGCCCTGAGCTGTTGACGGACTTTGGATGGCTTCCATTATAAAAGTATTTTTATGAATATTCTTGTACACACTCCCCACTGCATCTGTGCTGGAGTTTCTCAGTATATACCCAAGAGTAGAATTGTTGGGTAATAGGGCATGTATACCTTCACCTCTGTTCTGTGATGCTAAATTGTTTTCCAAAGTGGTTGTTCCAATTTTCACTCCCTGCAGCAGTTAACGAGAGTGCCATTGTTCTCCAACTTTGTCAACACTTGATATTGTCAGGCTTTGGAATTCTTGCCAATCTGGTGTTTATTACATAATTGTGGTTTTAATTTGTATCTTCTACTCACTAATGCCTTTGAGTATCTTTGCACAGTGTTTGGCCATTTGTACTTTCTCTTCTGTGAAATACCTGTTCCAATTTTTTTGACAGTTTTTCTTTTGAATTGTTATACTAACTCTAATTCATTTGTAGAAATGATTTCTATATTCTGGATATTAATTCTGTTCAGTTATACATGTGAAAAATGTCTTCACCCAGTTTTGTACCTCACCTTTTCTCTTTATGGAGTTCTAAATAAGATTTAAATGTGGAATTCTAAATAAGAAAAGAGGAAGGGCTTCCCTGGTGGCACAGTGGTTGAGAGTCTGGCTGCCGATGCAGGGGACACGGGTTCATGCCCCAGTCCGGGAAGATCCCACATGCCACGGAGCGGCTGGGCCCGTGAGCCATGGCCGCTGAGCCTGCGCATCTGGAGCCTGTGCTCCACAACAGGAGAGGACACAACAGTAAGAGGCCCGCGTACCGCAAAAAAAAAGAATGCATTCAGGGCCGGGGATGGTTAGAATCTTCTCAAAGCATGGCTTTAGGGACAGCCTGGTCCCTCCTGATGGAAACCATGGCCTCCACCGTGCTCCCGGCTGTTGCCATGGGTGTCATGAGATGTTCCCCCATGGGCCAGGCCTTTCATCCTTGCAGAGGATGATCTGCACCAGCTCTTGGTTTCTGCTTCTTCTGCCGACACTCGTCTGTACAATTTGTGGGTGGCAAAGGAGAGTGTAAGCAGCACACAAAAGGTTTTCACTCCAAGAATAGGCTTCAGTCGCCTCTCGGCACACAGTACATGGCGCTACTTTCCACCTTTTCATTATTTGGTAATTGAACCAGCAGACATTTAATTCTTTTCTCTGGAGTCTTCATTAAATTGCTCGGAAAATATAAAATTGTAACAAGAAAGAAAAACGTATAAATTTAACTACCGTTGCCTGTCCGTGGATTCTTCTCATGAAAGGCTTCTGGGCTTTAAGTAAACAATATTTTCAGCTTGCATAGAATTCAGTTTCAGTCGCATTCAGTGGCTCAAACTGATTTTGTAAGGGCTGACCTCAGATGACGAGATGATGCGAATGACTCCTTGTCTGCAGGGCATGCACATTTAGTCATTTTTTTGCAGGATGGTCATGAACCTGCCCAGGTGCAGCCATATGCTTTCACCCTGGGCCACATCTGACATTTCTGGGTTAGTAACGAGAGATCATTCTTGTCCAAGGAACAGGGCAGAACTAAAGATCTCCCGTGGGTTCCCAGCCCATGAGCCTGCCCACCTCTAAAGGGCAGCTATCTCTTGCTCTCTTTTTCTTTTCTTATTATGAAACATAGAGCTGAAGCCCTCGGATCATACAGGCCAAATGGGGAAGAAGGCATTAATCCAATTTATACACACAATATATATATATATATATATATATATATATATATATAGTCAAGGGGGGGCTGTTTCTTAACTTAAAATTGTGCACGAATGCATGTCATGTGTCTCCATCTAGATGATAAATTCCTTGAAGGGCCAGGAGATTAAAAGACTCTGAGGGTAAGCAATCATGAATAGATTTATGCGTTGTAGTCAATTTAAACTTACAGCAAAGCTCTCTGGCTCTTAGATTTAACAATGTTCATAATAATTATTGGGCCACTTAACACACTTTACTAGCACACAGTTCCTATATATGCTTCATTAGGAAGACTTCTAAGGAGTCAGACCAAGTGTTTCTAGGTCATGGGTGGTAGAACTAAAGGCAGGTGGAATTGGAGCTATTGTGACGCTGCCTTTCTAGACCTGCTGGATTCATAATCTAGGGCTGATCTGTCCAATATGGTAGCCACTAGACGTGTGGCTCTTTACATGTAAATATAAACTAATTTTTAAAATATCTTTATTGTAACATAATTGCTTTACAATGTTGTGTTACTTTCTGCTGTATAACAAAGTGAATCAGCTGTATGTATACACATATCCCCATATCCCCTCTTTTTTGAGTCTCCCTCCCTCCCACCCTCCCTATCCCACCCCTCTAGGTCGTCACAAAGCACCGAGCTGATCTCCCTGTGCTATGCAGCAGTTTCCCACTAGCCATCCATTTTACATTTGGTAGTGTATATATGTCCATGCTACTCTCTTACTTCGTCCAAATTAAATTTCTTAGTCGCACTAGCTGCCTTTCAAGTGCTCAGTAGCCACAAGTAGCTAGTGGCTATCATATTGAACAGTGAAAATACAGAATATGTCCCTCATCAAAGAAAGTTCTGGTGGGTAGCACTGATGAAGAGGACACAGGTGGCCATACATCACTTTTCTGGCATGTGATGGCCAGGCTGGTGGCTGTGTTCACTGCCAGGTATTGGCAGCCATGGCCAGGTCAGACTGGTATGATGTTAGGTGAGGCAGCCCTCCCCAATCCCTCTTGCTGTGGGCATTGTTTATCTTTCCCTTATTTATGTGTAAGATCTGGCATAGAACAGGTTCCCTAGGAAACAGACTCTAATGCACAGGTTTGCATGCAGGAAGTTTATTGCAGAAGGCTCTCAGGAACCTGACCTATGAAGGAAATAAGATAGAATTGGGTAGAGGAGTTAAGCTGAAATGTAGTTGGAATAAAGGGCTCAGGCAATCCCACAGGGAGTTCTTGAGCTGGGGAAACCATCAGAGTTGAACCACCTGAGGCAAGGGCCTTTATATTTCACATTTTTAAATATACACTTCCTCAGGAAGGAGTGTAACTTTGGGTAAGGTGGCTCTCTCGGGCCGAGGGAAGTTCGTAGACCAAAATTCAGCTGAGAGGCATCATCTGCCAACATTTTCAGCAGCTGGGAGAATGATGCCTTGGTCCTGAAGGAAGGATCTTTATGGTACGCCACAGCAAGTACTACAAAATCAAGATGCAGGATCCTAACTTTGGTCTGTAGACAGGAAGCTGATGGAGAATAAAGATACAATAGTAAATCAAGGAAGAGGGTTGAATTGGTGGAGCAAATGGGATGATACTAAAAGCACAGGCAAGGCCACAGGGTAAATTTGTTATGTGTGCTTTAGGGGTGGGCAACAATTTTCTAGAAACTCAGTCCATCGTCTGATCTGATGTACTTTGTACTATTCTAAGGTCTGTGAGGACACAAAGTACATATAAGATGTGATTTCTCCCCTCAAGTAGTTTGTCA